CTCTCTCTCTCTCTCTCAAATAAATAAATAAATAAAAATTGATAAGGAGCCAAAGATATAGCTCAGTGGCACAGTGTTTGCTTGACAAGTGGGAGGTCCTGAGTTTGATTCCAGTTTCAAAAAAAAAAAGAAAGGGAAGACTTTTTCCTTACTTCATTACTTTTTCCTTAACTGTTAGCATGGTTGAGGCAAAGACTCTTTTACTTCAAATTAGCAAATGTATACTATACAATGCTTTCACCCACTGATAAAACTGTACAAACTGGGGCAAGTATTTTAATTTTTGTGCCTTCATTTTCTGTTCTATAAATCCTATGACCCAGAAGATCCTGTCATATAAATGGGTCATTATTTTTCCTTTTATGGTTCTCAAGTATACACATAATCATTTTTGCTTCTTTAATTATGAGTGCTTTAAAAAAAAAGGTGTTTTGACTGCAAATAGACTTATATTAAAGTTGCTTCATACGTACTCTGTCTGTCAGGACGGACATGACTCGCTATGGATCGAACCTGGTACTCTAGAAGAACAGAAACATTAACATTATAAACCCTGTAATATAGTTTGGAAAGCCTACCCCCCCAAAAAAAAAATTCATTAAAGTAAAAGCTCCATAAGTTGTAAGAACAAGTAAGTTTTAAAACTCTTTAAAACATATCATTCCTTATGAAACTCCCAAAAGCTCTCTCCAATTATTACAGATGGTTAGTTAAAAGTCTACAAAGTTGTGAAAGTCAAGAACAGGAAAGTAAAGGTACTTTGGATTTGACATTTACCTACACAAGAATACAAACCTTGACTTGCATGCACATCAGTGACGTGAATGAAATCGAAAGAACAGAGAAAACCATTCTCCCTATATACAAAGCCACTTTTTTCAATTTTCCTCAACCCAATCAAGACCAACATGCTTTTCTTGATAAAGCTCCAACAAATAATGTTTCAGTTATATTTCTAGTCCAGCCCTATCCAGGAATATTTTAGTTTTTCTCTTATGCTGAAAAACATTGCTTAAATCAACAAGGACATGGAAAAAGTAGTATTAATGAGAAGGACAAAAAGAGTATCCAAGGCATACCGAATCCCATGTCAAACATTCGATCTGCTTCATCAAACACAAGGTAAGAGACTCGTTGAAGATTAGTGGCTTTCTTCTTCACGTGATCAATCAGTCGGCCCTATGAGAGCCACAAAATGGGTGAAGTGTAATTGAAGGCACTAACAAGAACTTTCAAAGCTGCTCTACTGGGAAAAGTACTAATTCTTCAGTCTTGGAGAGTAACTGACATGGCACAGCAGCCTTGAACTTTGTGTATTTCAGGGACCAAGGAACAAAAACTTGGAAAAACTTATTCTGTCTTTACATTAATAACGGTTTAAACGCTGTGGTTAGGAGGCCAGAACTATTTCTGGAAGGCATTCCGAATGACCTAATTTAAAGCCTTACGGATGACTTAAAGTTTAAAATATTCTAGATAGTTCTGACCACTCTGAATTTTTCTCATCTATGATGTTCTTGGTAGCCATGGATCCACTTCCTGTGAGAGCACAAGAAAAACTCTCTGAAACAGAGGGAGACTCGCAGCT